TTTCAGAAGGCCAAACTACTCCATCCAAATCCATCACCGGATTTTGCGGGGTAAGGTAATGGTTCGGTCTCCAGATTTCAAAAGAACGACCTTCCATTGTCCAAGTTATGGGAACATAATATAACTGTGATCCTTCACCCTTGAAAAGAAACCTTTTCTGGAAAAAGAAAGACAAAATTTGTTAATGAAATACTTCTTAATTGAAATTTTTCCCAAATAACCATGCTGTATAGAGGGTTATTCAAAACTGCCTTCTGATCTGCATGGTAAAACTTCTGTTACCATTTCTGTAAAATGAAAATTTGTACTTCAGTGGTTTTGAAATTGTCAAAGAAAGATTATACTGACTATTTGAAGAGTATACGGGTTACAATATTGACCTATGTTACATTGCATTGTCTACATTAACATGCTGAAATATTGTGGCCGTACCATGACCTGTGCATAAGGTACTACGCGTACAACTCAAGACGCCAATGGCACGATAATGAGGACAGACGCACATAAGAAGCAATGAGTTTCATGCAGCGATGGCTAAGCGGTTCATTTTCTCCGTTTCCCCGGGGTAATCGCTTTAGTATAGGGAAAGTTCTCCCTTCGTGGCGCTGAATTGTTTGGCTTTTGGACATATGTAGCTTCTTTTTACTTTCTCGCTATCACTTTCGCAGTAGAGAGAAATTCGTGTAACACTGCGCAAAAAAAACGGTAATTTTTCGACAGAAAAATTTATTACAGGGTCCTGGTAACGATAAAGTGTATAAACCAGTTGCTAAATTTAGAAAAAATCCTCTAACACTTGGTGCAACCAGAATTCATGTTTAGTAGGTTCTTCATACCGAAAACTCGAATGACGGCAAAACGTCCGTCTGTTCGTCTGTCTGTCCGTCTGTGAACCACGCTAGCTGTAAAACCGTTCAGCCGATTTTCTCCAAAATTGATATTCCCCAATCGATCTGGCTGTTTGGTCCTCTGAATTTGAAACCAATATTTTTTGAGAGGGTACTTTACATCAAGTCTCTTGGTATATTTTCCAAAATAATTGCTTTAACGTTTTTCATTAAATGTTGTTTTTGGATAGTGTGAAAGACGTTTAAGAGAATAGTAGGTCTCATGTTCGTAAAAAACCCTCATTTCTCCATAATCGCAAAAGTTCAAAATTCTTTCCTTGTTATGTCTTTCTACAACTAAAATATTAAAGATAGAGGTTTTTCCCTTAATGAACCGTGTTCCTTAAAGATATATTTTAAATTAAAGTCCTGTACAAGTTTTCAAAAAATGAGAACTTTTCGTGTAATTTTGCATGAAATGCGGGAGATAACGAGCGTGCTGTTTTAGCACTACTATTTCATGGGACGTGTCATCTTTGCTGGTGGGAATAAGCTTATGATTTTTAAAAGAACAGTCTATCACTCACTGTGGCAACCCAGTTGACTTTTAGATGTCAGAAGGCAATTTTGAATTACCCATAAAATCTACACAGTTACACTCTGCTAATGAATTACCTGCGACACTGTAACTGTTTTGGAATCATAGTTACGGGTAACATTAACAACCGGGAATCCAGGCAGTTCTGTCCACGACTTCAAGAAGTTATCGAAGTCGTCATCGGAAAGCTTGGCGGCTCCAGCGTATGGTTTTAATGAGTCAAAGAGATTCTGAGGAACCACTGTTTCG